TTTATAGGCAACTGATCCAAGGAGAGCTTCACGTTGAGAAAAGTGTCCAAAAGGTCTGAGCCTTTTTGTCTTCACATCAAGTGACTTTTCCTAGAAGAAGAAAGCACAGATAAATCCTTTTTGTCTGTGTTCTTGTGTCTAGCATAAATAAGGAAAGAGTCGTTTGGATTATTCCAACGGATATAATCTTTGAATAATTCTTCTTCAATTTTCAGCAAGTTCCATCAGAGTCTAAATTTATCAGAGCCTTCTGATGTTGATCAGAGTTTTGCTGAATCAGAGTCTTCTGCAGTAGGTGTACTTTTAGCGTGTCCAAGTTCAGAGCATATTTGAGTTAGATCCTCAGTACTGGCAGCTTTAGTACTTTCAGAATCTTCTGTAGTAACTATGCTTTGAAAACTCTTCATACAGAATTCTTCTTTGGTTCAGATGCTTCTGATTTGCTTCAGATTCTTCTGGAGCTTCTGCTTCAGATCCTTCTGGAGGCTACGCTCAGGATCTTCTTTTGGCAGCATTCAGAATCTTCTAATGGATGCATCTGGCGCTTCAGAGTCTAGCAAATTTCTTATGTTTAGTTCTGATTTGCTTCTAGAGTGATAATTCCTTTATTATCTGCAGTAAAAACTCTCAAGCAAATTTTAGAGTATATAATTCTTAATTACAAAATTTCATAATAGTTATCATCAAAACATAGAGATATTATTAAGAACCAATATGTGTTCTAACAGAAACTTCATATAATAGCCTTATATGCGATTAGAAATGATTCCCTAATGATGTCCTACATTTCCCCTTCTCTATTGCTTAAGAATATGCCTCTTTTTCTTAATTTTGGAACCCTAATGTCTAAACAAGTTTTACATTATATAAAAAAAGCTATGTAACCGTGAAATTGCATTGCTCTATAATGCCTACTATCCACAAGTATAAGGAGTGTATCAGAGTAATATAAAATGTTTTCGAATCCTACAGAGACCTAATGGTCAATCTATCATCTTATATTGCTACAATGTTTACCTAAGGTGATCGTAAAAAGATTATGGAATGGAAACAAAATAGAATAACAAATATTTAATAAATTCAAAGGTACAATACTGGAATGTGGTTTCTGTTAATCAACTGAACTCCTATTATCTCTAAATAGAACTACTTATGGGGCAATATTTTCTTCCAAGAAAAAGAACTTAATTAAACAGGAACTGTCACTTTCAATTTTTCGGAATCAAATTTAGTCTTTAAATCCACATCGTCCGCTCACGGGTAACCGGTTGCGTATTGCATTAAAGTAGAAAATACTTTTTTTAGTAATCACCTCTAGCTCGGTTGAAAAGTAATCTTGATTGGAAACTTTAACTTAAAAGGGTTTCCGGCATTTTCTCGGACAACCAGATTCTAAACCTATAAACGCGTCCTCAAATAGTTTCAAAACCACCTTCTAGTAATATTAACTTCTCCTACTTAATAAACAAAGTGCTTTCACGGTTTTTATTAACCAAAAACTAATCAATTTTAATCTTAAGTATCTGACGACTTTCGATCTTACCCAACGTGTCACAATTCTAATTTTGTAGTAACCAATCAAATTAATTACGAAAAAATCAAGTTAAAACCAAAACAGCCCCAATAATAACTATATAGAAACAACATGTGGAGCACCATCGAAACGACGGTCCTCACATTCCAGTACTAACGAAATTAGTTGGACATGGTTACAGTAAACATTTTGGATTTTGTTTGAAAAAGGAATTAAACATAATAAGCGTTTTGATTAAAATAAAGAGTGTGCGGTGAAAGTAAATAAAGTAAAGCGGTGAAGTGAAAGTAAATAAAGTAAAGCAGTGCGATGAAATAAACAAAGTAAAGCGGTACGATAATGTAAGTAAAGTAAAAAGGTGCGATAAAGTAAAAGCAATGGGAATGTAAACAGACTAAAATTAATAAGAGCCTGCTCCAATCGGAGATTTGAATCTGATACACAAAATAACTTCGACAAAATGTAAATGGCGGCAAGATTAAAAGCGATAATATAAAGTACTCCAAACTCAAATACAACAAAATATCATAGTTCTCGTGTGTTAGTCCTCTCTTTACTTTGTTATCATAACTTTCACAATAAAATATCATGAATGTCTGGTTAATATGGTTTTAGCTCAAATTGGTATTTTTCATGATTCTTTGGAATCTTTATTAAAACCTACAAAAACATAAACTAATTAAAAAGCATAGGTACTTAAAAAATACGACAATTACTATTAAAAATATGATATGGCGAACTGTGTGATCAATAGTTCAACTATCTTCTAAATTTTGTTTCTTTCAATTGATTCAAATTCTTCTTTTATTGCACATATCCTCTTAGAACTTGCACACCAACTTTTATAACCGCATGTTCATATTTTACATGTAATGCAAAATGAACCAATTACTACTTTTTATTATTTCATTATTTGGAATTATTTCACATTTTTGTAGTCTTGGAAGAAACACTCTTGTCCTAGTTGATATTTTTTCTCTTGAGCTTGTTTCATCTGATGTATCACTATTAATGTTAGGCTTCAATATGATTCCTTCAATTCAACATGATCATATGTCTAAAATCATCGGTAAATCCACATAAACTTGAATACACCGCCTCAAGTTGGCATCTAGTTTTGCTGCCTACATCTTTGTTGAAATTACTTGTATGTTGCTTGGTTTGCACAAAATCTTCAAATACTTATGTTAGCTTGTGAACTAAAGACAGTTTTGTCATGTCACAATGCCTTGATTGTTTATTAAGTTTGGATCTCTAAAATCGAGATATCAACTCGGTAATTCTCGGTAAAATCATATCTACTTGTAATGCATGTAAAGCATATATGCTCTATTACACCACTCAGCTACGCCAAGTCCCCCTTAATTAAGGGGTACGTTAGTCAATCCGGTCTGAGATGTGTTGACAAAACCTTCATAGGAATAAAGACCTTTTAATATAGTGGAGGCGAACTGATCAACTAGAAAGAGACTCTACTCACTACAAACGAATACACTACAAGATTGAATTCCACTCATGCCTTTGCCCTATCAAGTTGATTGACCCTTTAAATAGTCTTCTATGAATCATGTTAATCCTAATTTTGAATGTTTTATTCCTTGGCATAAGTGTTTTTAGAATCAATCTTCTTTTTGCAATGTGAACATTCAATACTTTATTCTCCATATATTTATCTTGTAATTCTTATCATTGGCCAAGGTTTAGAAGATTACAATTCCCTCTTCGAATGTATAAAATATATGTAATTGTTTACTTATCTCTATCCTTTATTTTGATTGAAATTCACCAATCCCTTCTTATTTTTGCCAAAGTATTATCATAAAAAAATTCTCAGTTTTTTCTTTCATGTATGATTGAGTTTCAAAAACCAACTCTTTCTTTGTGCAATGTGTATTGAATAGTCGGTATCAAGATATAACTGAGATCTCTACAATCATTATTCTTCATTTGAGTTTTTAAGAAGAAAATATTGTTATTTTAAAATTGTGATGAAATTGTCAATCTGACTCGAGACGACGCAAATAGAATTTCGTTTGTCTGTGATATTTTCAGTTTTCCTTGTTGAGCTTATGCCTTCCTATATATAAAAAAAATTGATGAAATTTCAACATATTTTACAAATTTATTTTCTTACAAAATAATAATGTATAAGGTGCGGCACCAAACTTTTTATTAGATCACTCATTTATTATTAGTTTCACCCAAATTTAATTTTGTTTTTGTAAAAAAAAAAAAATCCAAACAAATATAACTTATTTTCATTATATTTAATGGTATCTATCTTAAAATACTTTTCATGTAATACAAAATTTATTTTTCAACTGCTCCTTTTATTTTAATAGGAAGAAACACTTTTGGAAAAAAAATTAACATACTTAAATTATTTTTCAAATATTAAAAAAAACAATTCTTAATTCATAATCAACATCAAAAATTCAATTTTTCTACCTCTCACATACTTTTAGGTTTTTCCTTTTGGCTTTTTTTTTTTTGTGTTGACGCTTCCATTCCAAAGCGGCTCTGTCTCCGCCTCAGCCTTCTCTGCTCCCTGTTGGGTATCTCCGAGGACTTGAGCTAAGGGATTGTTTACTGAACGTCCCATACTTGACCTATCACTCCATTCGGTGAAGTATCCCCTTACATTTCTTTCTCTTTCTAGAGGTAAGAGGAATCAATCCGAAATGCGTGAACGAGCAAGTTTAGTGCAGGGTTGTTAAACCAAAATTTTGTATAGCTTACGTTAGTAATAAAGAATTTGCATTATAGTAGAGTTGACATGGCATCTAAGTGAACTAAAATTTAGTTCCCATTATCTATATAGTTAACGTTAACTATGTGAAATATATTATAATATTATTTATTTAATTAATAAAATATTCCAACAGATGGCATGATATTTGAAAATAGTAGGGTCAAGTTTTGGTTCCTTATAGACAACCATCATTAAAGTAAAAACTACTCAAATCAACTATAAATTTTTTAAATCCTACAAAACACTTTGAACCCACAAAAAATATCTTAGTTTATCCATTTAATTTACTCTCATTAAAGATACTCTTATACACCAAACAACTTTCAAAAAGTTTTTCCTTATGCACCAAACAACTTTCAAAAAATGGCTAGCAAAAGAATAAAGTATCATCTCATTCAATGCTCCATTTTATAAGTAGTCTAGTGACTTAGGTTCATCTCATTAAAAATAAATAACTAAGATATCGTAGATTCGAACTCGCGCTTGTATATCTAAAGTCAATATATAATTATCAACTTAACTCTCATTTGATTTTAAAAAACAATTTCTAAAAAAATAAATGCAAAATAAACAAACTTGAGAAACAAGAAAGCATAGGGAATAAACAAAACCTCATCTTAACCCTACAAATTACAATCATAAATAAACCAATAACAATAACAACACATTTAACTATTTTCAGTTCAACTCAATTCAACTCAATTCAACTCAACTATGTCATCTTCATTCTCTATCTCTTCTTCACTCCCATCACTTCAAAACCCTAACTTGGACCATTCCCATCTCTTCAATTCCCTCAAATTACCCAATCTCCGTTTCAATTCTAGAATCTCTTCACCGCCACGCTCTCGCCCCAACTTTCCCCAACTCTACAAAACCTCCACCACTCTTCGCCGTAGATTCCCATGCAATAAAGCTTTGAAAGATTCCGGAGATGGTGGTGGTGGAGATGGTGACCAGGAGGTTGAGAAGAAGAATGTGTCGTCCGGACTTTTTTCAGAGTGGTTGAATTTCACTAGTGATGATGCGAAAACGGTTTTTGCTGCTTTGGCAATTTCGCTTGCTTTTCGTACTTTCATTGCCGAGCCGAGGTTTATTCCTTCTTTGTCAATGTATCCTACATATGATGTTGGAGATAGAATTGTTGCTGAAAAGGTACTCTTTTATTGTTCTTCAATGCAAGTGGGTCTCAATGAAATGAACTTGTTACTAGCTTTGCATTTTTTAGGGTTTTGAGAGTAGTTGAAAACAAGGTTTGCGTTTGGTTAATGTTGAATTTAAGTACTTCAAAAGAAAAATTAATGTTGGTCATGCAGTACTACCAACCAAACACTTTAGGTTGAAAGTGTGTTTGGTGTTCTCAAACTATTGTCGGTATCGATTTGTCAATGCCGTGTACGGTGTATGTGTTTGTGTGCTTCATGGAATGTTAATGTTTAAGTAAATATCTATGCGGCTATGCTCTAGTAATAGGTTTTGACATCAGCATCCAATTAGATAGACTCTCTACTATGGTGCATCTCTATTTAGATTGTAGATGCTTCTTCATATGAAAACTTTAGCTGTTTGTTGAAATATGGCAATCCTTCGATTTATAGAGGTTGCGTGAAATTGTTAAGATTATGATGTTTGTGAGTATTGTTAGTTCAAATGCTGATTCAGGACATAGGCTAGTTTGCCGTGCATTGTAGTTTTCAGGTTATGTTTGGAATTGTTGGTATAGGATAGAATGGAATGGAGTAGGCTCGTTGGATTTTAAAAAATCGATGATAACATATAATATCCCATCCCACCCATAGTTCATGGTATTGAAGCATGTCGATTGCTGGCTTTGTTATTTACTTATAATAGTCTCGATGTTGTAGCTATTTGTTGTCACAATAGTTATAATTGTTAGCCTCTCAATGCTCAATTATTCAATGGATAGAATCACCTAAATATATATTGCTATGCCCTTTTAATAGATTTGACATCAAATTTCAACTATACTTTCTGTTATGGTGCACTATTAGTAATGATATACAACTTCATGTTTTCAGGTTTCATACTATTTTAGAAAGCCGTGTGCAAATGATATCGTGATTTTTAAAAGCCCTCCAGTCCTTCAAGAAGTTGGATATACTGATGACGATGTTTTCATAAAACGTGTTGTTGCAAAGGAAGGTGATGTCGTGGAGGTAGGATCTTTTTAGATAAACATTCTTGCTCTTGTTCCATGATGTTGTCTTTGAGTTTTTTGTTCAATTCATTGTTTGTGCTAATGTTGTCGTGCACTGTTGGGCTTCATGATTACAAACAAATTTTTACAATCGTGTTTGTGCTAGATGTGAGCAATTGAATTATTTGCAGGTTCGAAATGGACATGTTGTAGTTAATGGGATTGAGAGGGATGAGAAGTTTATAAATGAAGCACCGAAGTATGAGATGAAACCCATAGTAAGTTCTGCACTTTTATCCCGTAACTCTGTTTTTCTCCCGTTCTCTTTATGGTCTCCTTAAAGTGTTTAAAATTTAGATGCATAATTAATAAATATTACAAAACAATTTAAATAAAATTGACACATATCATTCTCTTAAAAATACTTTACTTTGCAGCGTGTGCCAGAAAACTCCGTTTTTGTGATGGGAGACAACCGCAATAACAGCTACGACTCACATGTGTGGTAATATATTTAAAGATTACATGCATTATGTACACTATTCTTACTTCTTATTTGAGTTATTTCCTTACTTGTTAAATGCAATTTTCTTAGGGGTCCATTGCCTGCCAAGAATATCATAGGTAGATCAGTATTCCGCTATTGGCCACCAAATAGAGTGGCCGTCACAGTTGCTAAGGGAGGGTGCCCTGTTGAAACCAAGCCGGAGACTACTAGTACTACTCTAGCATCTCAATGATGAAGGCAGCGACCTTTTTTGCAGAGTTTCAGATTAGTATTCATTTTGTACAATAGATTGTTGGGAAAACGATTTTACACTCCTTCCCATTCTTCTTGTTAGCTTGTATCATTGCTGATGCCTGATAACCCTTCTGTAACAAGATTATGAATCCAAAGATTAGCAAAACACACACAAAAGATGAAATGATGGAATTCTATATTCTGTTTTTGTTACTAACAACTGGTTGCAGTACCATCCCATTTACATTGGTTGATCATAGTAATGGAAAATTGATGAATTTTTTCAGTAGGTGGAAATTTTACTCTTTAAGCAACTATCCCAATCTTATCAACTATAGGAAACAAACCAAAATATCATATACTGGGTTTTTGGTTCAACACAGTGACACAAAATGCTGTCTATATGATTGGAGATCCGCCAAAAGACAGATAGGAAGAAGGATATATATATATATATATATATATATATATATATGTATGTATGTATGTATGTATGTATGTATGTACATACATACATACATATATATATATATATATATATATATATATATATATATATATATATATATATATATATATATATATATATATATATATATATATATATATATATATATATATATATATATATATATATATATATATATATATATATATATATATATATATATATATATATGACGATTGATTGAGTCTTGTTGGTGTGGCTGTTGGTTGTGAGTGGTCCCAGTTGCTAGTCCTATATGTTGTGGCCATAAAACCGTTGGTTTAGCTTGCTGTGAGTTACAGTCCAAGAAACAAACTGGGTGGGAGAGAGTTAAGAAGAAGACTATTGACTTCAAAAGATACCAGTTTTATCTAGAAAATTGTATGCTAAAAATAATTTGTATTGAATTATGTCTCAAATCTTAAAGAACAATGTGTGAGTTGGGAAATAGTAGTCGGAGAAGTACTAATAACAGGATTTTATGTCATGCGTCTTCTAGTACTATCAATTATGAACTAGATCAAGATAATTTTCAAAACCATGAATTAGAGATTCAATAAATTAAAGAAAATTTATAAGATTAGTATCTTTGAATTTAATATTTAAAAAATTATTCACACAACTGAATCAATCAACTGTTATTAGTATTAAGTATGAAACCATAAACTTATTAAATAAAAAACTTTTAGAAAATCACACAATTATATTCACTTAGGATTCATTCAAGTGATTATAAAATCTTTACATAAATTAGGATTGAATACTCTAATCCTTCTAATATTGCGAGATACTAGAATAAATTATGTTTATTGTTCAACTATAATCGTAGTTGAGTCCAACTTAAATAAAGACTGAGTTTATTCTAACCGTCATTCAAACTTTAGTATGAGTTTATCCCAAACTCTTTAGTTATCTATGTTAGGACTCTTAGAGACATTTTTATTTCTTGGGTTGCCAACATTGATGCCATTAGTAGAATAACATATAAAATCACTAAAGTTAATTATGATTTTAAATCTTTAAAATTGACTTCTAGAAACGAGATTTGTATTATAGAAGCAAATTTGAGTGAATCAATATAATGACTCCAAAAATATTAACCGCTTCAGATATAATTAATAAGTTTTCATAAGAATGAATACTAAGCGATGTTGTAAAAACTGATAAAAAAGAAGCTAGAACCATTAGAGATGTCATTCAAGACATTTCTGAATCGGTTAGGATTAGAATGACTAGGACTTAATCCCACCAATACTATGCTTCAAGTAGTGTTAGTACTTCCTCTCGCACCAAACCCTCAACTGCTAGACGATCAACTAATTCCACCATTAGAATCAACTTGGCCAATGTGGACTTCAATCCTAACGTCCCTATCCCAATTTATCAAGAGGAAACTTCTAGGTCACCTTCGTCTACTCCTTTGCAAGTTTTAGGTACCCTAATTAGAGAAGATTCATTCATCATAAATAAAATGTGGATCAGAAATGAGTTTAACTCAGATTATAATAAAGAAAAGAGAGATTTGCATTTCTCTTCTTTCAATAAAAACATTAACAAAATTATATTTAAAATTTTTTTATGAATTTTTAAATTATCATGAAATAAAGACATATTTCTTTACTTGGTATGAATTATATTGTTTAGAAGAAAAAATTAAAAATCCCTACGCTAGTAAAATGTTTTTAGACGTTAATACCAGGATTACAACTCAGTAGAAAACAATTAAGAAAGAGATTATTAGCTCTATACATTCACTTTTAGAAGCTATTAAAATAACACTGCCTAAAAAAATGTTGAGATAGAAGCATCTCCTTTCAAAACAATTATACGTCTCGATGAAACTAGGAAAGATATTAATAACATTCATAGTCAACTTAACTTTACCAACCAAATATTAAGTACTTTGTCAAAACAATTAGAAAGAATTGACGAGGCTACTCCTCATACTACTGATGTACCCTCTACTAAACTCGACCCTACTAGACCGGTATATCATTATAATATTCCTTTGAAAGTAAAACTGCAAGGTATGATGTTAGGTCAAAAATCTGATGGGAAAATTAATAAATTAATTAACAAATTAAATGGTTTAAACTTAGAATCTACATCTACTTTACATACCCTCTCTCACGAAAGAGAAAGTAGTAGTGCCTTGAATAAATTAGGGAATAGAGGTCGTAGGCCAAAAACTAGAAATTATTATCCTAGACCTTCATTTGCTGACTTGCAATTTGAAGAAAGAAGTAGATTTGTAGGAGATAGCTACTCTGGAGAATCTATAGTTGAATGGAATATAAATGGTGTTTCGGAACAACAAGTTCTGGGTAACATTCAACAAATAACAATGGCTGCTACAACCTTTAAAATTAGAAAGAAAAAAAAACAATGATAGAAAGACCAAAAACATGATAGTCATGGACTTTGCTAGTTGGTGGGATAACATCATTGCCTCAGATGATAAGTTAAGAATTGATATGGTTGTTAAAGGCGAAAATAATGAAGAGAATTGTGTTACAACTCTCCTTTATGCCATCACTAAGTTCTTTGTAGGAGAACCTTTAAAACTCCAACAAAGAGCCTCTAAGCAATTAACGAATATTTATTGTTCTACCATGTTTGATTACCGTTGGTATAAAGACATGTTCCTATCAAAACTCTGCCTCAGGTATGATGGAGCGGAAAATTATTGGAAAGAAAGATTTATTAGTGACTTGCCGAGATTATTATGTGAAAAGGTTAAATACTTTATTAAACAAAATTTTAATGGAAATGTTCCTTACAATACTTTGTCTATGGGAGAAATCGATTATAAAATACAAAATAAAATTAAAAATGAGAAAATAAATTGTAAGCACAAAATGGAAACATTGTGTGAACAATAAGAGTCACATTAGTAACAAAAGAAAAAACTCTCATTACCATAAAAAGTATTTTAAAAAAGATAATCAAAAAATTTATAATAAGCCTTACAAAAAGAATTATGGTAAAAAATCACAGAATAAAATATCTTACAAAAAAATCTTATAATAAGGATAAAGATGTAAAATATTTTAAATGTGGTCGTTTTGGCCATTATTCTAATAAATGCATTGTTAAAGAAAAAATTAATCAAATTATTAAAGTAAATATTTCAGATGAATTAAAAGAAAGCCTCATTAATACTTTAGAAAATATTATGTTAAATAATGAGGATTCTTCATCCTCCGAAGAGTCATCCTATTAATTGGTCTATGAAGACATTAATCGACATAATAACTCAGAAGAATCAACCTCTTTTTCTGATAAATGCTTTGGATTAGATTATTGCAGTTGTAACAATTGTTCTAAAAGAATTAATATTCTCACCAATAGTCAAGCTAATACATTAATCACCATGTTAGATAAAATGCAAGACTCTGAAAGTAAAAAAGCTTTCATGTGTCAGATAAAAGATATTATTGATGATAACGACGTTCATAAAAATGACATCCATAAAATAGAATTTAAAGACTTTATGAAAATGTTTGAATCCTCTAAAATGGTTACTATTAATAAATTAAATAATAAAACAAAATTATTAAAAACTGAAATTAGATATTTAAAGGAACGTCGAGAGAATTTAGAGTTAAAGTTTCTCGAGCTACAAGAAAAATGTATTATTAGTCAAGAACAAAATATTAGACCAACTGAGACTCCTTCTCCGTCTGGTACTAACAATTCTAAAAAATTACATAGATAATATTGCTAAAATTATATCTCATAAATGGTATACTAAAGTCCAATTAATTGTTAAAGATCATACTTATGAATTAATTATATTAATAGATTCCAGAGCATATCTAAACTATATTTCGGACGGATTAGTCCCGACTCAATATTATGAAAGGTTTTACAAAATTATACTTTACTAATGGTATTAAAAAGACAAATTTACATAATTGAAATGAGAGAGAATAATAAATATTTAATGGTATAATAGAAAAAATAACATTAATGATTCATTAGTATTATAAAACAACTTATATTGTGTTATAAATATTTTTCTCAAAGCGACATATAATAAAAAAAACTGATCTGACCTGATCAGAAGGGAACCACTAGACTGCCACGCGTCTTTGACTTGCTACCTGTTCACTGGTGTTGAAGAGGAGAAGGGGGTGTATCTGCAAGACACTCTGATGCCAAAGTAAGGAATTGGACAGAGTGAGAGCAAATACAGAAAAGAGGATGAGAATTGAATACCTGGCCCTCTTGTGGAAGAGGGTATTTATAGAGAGACCACAGTGCAGGGCCAACGGTCATTTGAGTTGGGCTGGATGGTCAGGCCCAACCCAAGTGACTGCTAGGGTTTACGTGGCGTAGTGAAGACCAGAACGTGGTCTTCGCCCTAGTTCAACTGCTCTGTGATCTCTGGAGAGTGGGTTGACCTGCTCTTTCGGAGGTGGGCAGTTGGTTGATGACGTGTCCCCGCGGAGGGGAGCGCGTGGAGAACGTGTGAGGTACACGTCTTTCTGCCCGACGGGGGAAGCGTC